CCCCCCCCCCCCCCCCCCCCCGGCGGCCCCCCCCCCCCCGCCCCCCCCCGCCAGCCAGTAGCTGACGCGCCCGTTGGCGCCCGCGTCCGCGTCCCGCGCGCGCACGCGCAGCACCGGCGCGCCCGCCGCGTTGTTCTCCGCCACGTAGGCGCTGTAGGCGGCCTCCTCGAACACCGGCGCGTTGTCGTTCACGTCCGACACCTCCAGCACCAGCGCCGCGCGGCTGGAGAGCGCCGGGCTGCCCCGGTCTATAGCAGTGATGGTCATATTGTATGCGGAGACCTTTTCTCTGTCCAGGGTACTAGCTATTATTAGTTTATAGGTGTTCTCTGATGACGGTTCTAGTCTAAATGGCAAATCGCCGTCAATGTTGCAGTTCACTTCTCCGTTATCTCCCGAGTCTCTGTCACGGACATTGATCACAGCTACAACTGTGCTCGGGACCGAATCTTCGGGTATCGGGTTCAAGATAGGGAGGAGGGAAATGGTTGGCGCATTGTCGTTCACATCTAGAATGTCTATGTGCACTTTGGCGTGCGCACTCAGCCCTCCTCCATCCTTGCCTTCAACACTGGCTTCGTAATATTTCCCCTCTTCATAATCTAAGGGGCCTGTAACCTTCACGTCCCCTGTCCTGGAGTCCAGCGTGAAGAGCTGTCGAGCACTGTTTGCGATGTCACTGAAAGAGTAGGTAATTTCTGCATTTGTACCTTCGTCACCGTCAGTAGCTTTCACCTGAAAAGCTAAGGAGCCCTCTGGCACGTTCTCCAGCAGTCGAACTTTGTAGATCTCCTTGGTGAATACTGGCGGGTTGTCATTTGCGTCGGTCACATTAATCTTAATCTGGGTGGTCCCAGACCGGGCTGGATCCCCGCCATCCACCGCCGTCAGTATCAAATGGTGATTTCTCTGTTTTTCTCGATCTAAGCTTTTCTCCAGCACTAATTCCGGCTGCTTCGTCCCATCAGGACTCTCCCTCACTACAAGGGAGAAGATTGGGTTGGGGGTAAGTTGGTAGTTGTGTAATGAATTCGCCCCAATATCGGGGTCTCTGCCACTGCCCAGTGGGAACCTGGCCCCAGAAGGCGTGGACTCGATTATTTCTATGGCAATAAATTCTCTGTCAAACTGCGGCGCATTGTCATTGATATCCTGGATAGTAACGCTCACATGAAATATATTGAAAGGGTTTTCCACGACTGCCTCCAAACTGAGGACACAGGGCGACAAGGCTCCGCAGATGCCCTCTCGGTCTATCCTCTCGTTTACCAGCAGATTCGTATTATCGCCGCCGAGAGTGAAGTACTGCTTTTCGTCACCAGAGACTATCCGCAGCTTGCGTGCCGGCAGGTCGGCCGGGCTAAGCCCCAGGTCCCGCGCCAGCGGCCCCACCAGCGATCCTCTGCCCAGCTCCTCGGGGATGGCGTAGCGGACCCGCTCCGGCACCGCCCGGCAGCACAACGGCAGCAGCACCGCCAACAGCGCGACCCGCCCGGCGGCTGCCCGGCCCTGCGCTGTCGGTCGGACCTCCATCCTCTGCTTTGCTGAAGCACCTTCTGCAGAATTTTTATTTAGGCTTCCCGAGCAGCTGAATCAGTACCTGAGAGAAATAAATATATGAAATCCCTGTTGTCAGTCGCAGGACAGGCTGAGTCGGGCAGTTCCTGCTCCTCTCTCTGCTCTGCTCTGTGCGGAGCGGCACTGCGCGGGCGCTGGGGCCGGGGAGGAGCCGACGGCGGAGCCGCTTCTCCGCCTTGGCCAACAGTGACACCCTGAGTCCGTTCCTGAGAACCGCAGCATCCGCGAGAACAGCCCGAAGGTCCTGCTACGCGCGTCCTTAAATTGCACTCACAGGTGGGTTGGAAAATACAGTAGCGGGAAACAGTAAATTTGTATCTGTGCTGAAACGATAATTCCCATTGCCTGAATTCCTTATACTTGCAAGTCTTCTGCAGGACAAATCCTCCCCTGTTACTCGGAGGATGTGGAGCAGGATCTCTATCTCTGCCTCACAGTGATCTTACTGGTTCTAGGGTGAGGGCGCGAGCGTCTCCCCGCTGCCGTCTCATCACCACAGTGAGAGAAACGGCAGGACGGGAAGAACGCTGAAGCACTGCTCGTAGACAGAGGATTTATTTTCTATAGCTGAGAGATCCCGAGCTAGCACTCAGCTTTCCCACTTTGAACGGTGATCGCTGATGGACGAGCAAAGCCGGGAATCCCAGCCACTGAGAAAACCACAGCTGTCACACCAGACCTGCTAGATCCCATCTCTTTCTACATTCAAAACCCCAGACCATCTTATCAGTGCCATACAACCCAGCTCCAAATTTCTTTTTCCGTACCACGTTCTCATCTCCTAAGCCGGCCATTACTTACTAAAGTGGGTCTCAAGCCTTAAGAATATTTTTCTGGCAAATGTCGACAGCGGTTACGGTTGCTTGAACAAGCCAAGAGAAAACAGACAGTTCTCTCACGAAAAGCCCTTGTATTTCTCCTGTGCATTAAAACTTCGTCTCTCTTATGGTGAAGAAAAAAAAGACCTGAAGGAAGGCTGTATCACCACAGCCCCTTTTGCAGAAGATAAGAAACGGTTAGAAAACCCTCCAGACTACCTACCCAGTGAAGTAGCTCTCGCATATACCCCAACGCTGACTCTCTGTAGATGCCAATGTGAAGACGTCCTCACCTTCCCAGTAAGGTGTCGTTAGAGAATATGTTTTCCTGCTAACCCCGGCCATTCATCCAGTGGAGGATAATTCCTTTTCCTCCAGCTGCACCTATACAGAACTCACGGTAACAAATGAATAACCTGTCAGAACGAGGAGCTGGTTTGAATTTGTAGTGTTTCAGGAGTCAAGTAGCAAGCATATGAGCATCTCTATGCGAGGTCGAGAGAAGGATGTTGATATTTATATAGGACGAGGGGACTCTGTTGAAACACGTCACGGTCAATTCACTGCCCTCTATATGGCGAGAATTGCTTATCACAACCCAGACACGCATTTTCATGCATCTTCACCCACGAAGCACCCTCCAAATCTCTGTTTCCAAGCGGAAATTGATGTCTCCTAGTTCCAGGATTTTCTCTTCCCCCTTGTACCCGAGCCTGAGGGCAACAGCACAGTTAAGTCCTAGGCGGATGCAAGTAAGAACCAGTCTGCATCAGAGAGGGAAACATTTTCTTCCCACATGCATATCGCATGTGAGTTTGTGGCTGATGGACGGCAGCAGAAGGGGGTAATGACTACAAGGTTAGGTCACATGAAGTATAAGGTTCTGGCTCAGTTTACATTCCCACCACACACAAAAGTGCCTGTACAATTCACAATATTTTGACAAGGTCTAGAATCGGCACAAAAAAATCTGTGCAGCCCTTCACCAGGAACATTACAGTATGATTTTCTCTCAGCTTGAAAGCCGTCATTTTTATGTGACAACAGTTTACTTTGTTTAAAACGCAATGATACAATGTATCACCAGCTTAAATAGCAGAATAACAAACACAGAGCAACGTAATGTTATTCATTAATTATATTCCTGAAGTCCTAAAAGCCTGTTCAGTCCATGATGAAAGATCTGTAATGGAGGAAATAAGGCCAGCCGCTTCCAAAACAGCCTGTTTGGTAGGCAGGCTTTCAGAACAGGATTGCATGTTTGGCAGGAAAAAAATATTTTAATATTATAAGGAAATCAAAGAGTAAAATATTTTATATTCTTACATTAATTCGCATTCAGACATTAGACACACGATAAACAGACTGTGATGAATCATACTTTGTTTTAAAATATTTTCCATCTATATGCTAGAAAATACACTCTGTTTCGATGTCTATGCCTGTACACTAATCGACAATTACATTCATATCGAATCCAAAGGTTAAGTCACAAAGCCCAGCAGCGGGAAAAAACTCGATGGGATATCAGAGGAATTTTTCACTATGTAATAGGAATCTATTCGTAGAACTTTAAGGGTCCTTCAGCGGGATGGATTAATTAGTTTGTTGAAGGTGGATTTCCAAGTAATCTGGGACTTCAGAGATGTTGACTTTCGGGCTACAAGGTTGTTAACACCATTTGAGAGCTGATACAGAGGATGGCAATGAAATTCTGGGAACTGGGTACTAGCAAGTACTTAAACAATTCCAAGGAAGTATCAAAGGAAGACCTAGAGACTGAAATTTCCTTCTTCAGTTGCACACGCAACGGAACCTTCCAGCCTTTGAGAAAGCTAGATACAATGAGCTCAGCCCAGCTGGTAGAGAACATGGTACATAAAAAAACCCACAACAGACACAGCGCACATTCAAGGGGAGACATTGACGAGCTGGCGACTATCGTAAAATGTGATTTCCAAGACTGCGAAGAGTGCACTTAAAAATGTCATGGCTAACCGAAGAATCCTAAGCACCGCGTACACAATAGAAGGTTAAAAGAGATTAAGGTACCTGAAAGGAAACTTGGCCACCATTCTCGGCAACATGATCTCCTGTAGGGACGAGATCACCCGAAGCCTTAGCCGGCGGCCGGGCCGGGAGGGTGTCGCAGCAGCTGCCGCCCGACAAGCGGAGCTGGCTCTTGCGCGAGTCGGCGGTGAGCGACACCTCGTGCGAGTAGGAGTGCAGGAAGGCGCGGACGCCGTCGATGCCCACGAAGTGCGAGGCCGGGACGCCGCGCAAGGCGCCGCTGCCCGCCGCCAGCAGCTGCGAGCGGCGCCAGCGCCGCAGGCGCAGCGCCAGCAGCAGCAGCAGGAAGGCGAGGAAGAGGCAGGACACGGCCGCCACGGCCACCACCAGCCACCGCGTCAGGCTGCCGGCCGGCTCGCCCGGCGCCGCCGCCGCCGCGCTGCCCAGCTCCGACAGCAGCTCGGCCACGCTCTCGGCCAGCACCACCGTCAGCGTGGCCGTGGCCGACAGCGCCGGCCGCCCGTGGTCCTTCACCACCACCACCAGGCTCTGCCGCGCCGCGTCGCGGGCCAGCGGGAAGCGCGCCGTCCGCACCTCGCCGCTGTGCAGCCCCACGCGGAACAGCCCCGGCTCCGTCGCCTTGGCCAGCTCGTACGACAGCCACGCGTTCTGCCCCGCGTCCGCGTCCACCGCCACCACCTTGGCCACCAGCGCCCCGGGCTCCGCCGAGCGCGGCGCCAGCTCCACGCCCGCCCAGCCCGCGCCCGGCGCCGGCGCCGGCGGCGGGTACAGCACCTGCGGCGCGTTGTCGTTCTCGTCCACGATCACGAGCCGCACCGACACGTTGCTGCTCAGCGCCGGCGCGCCGCCGTCCTCCGCCCGCACCCACAGCCCCACCTCGCGCACCTCCTCGTAGTCGAAGGAGCGCAGCGCGTACAGCGCGCCCGTCTCCGCCTGCACCGACACGTAGGACGACAGCGGCGCGCCCCGCACCCGCCCCTCCGACAGCCGGTACCGCACGCGCGCGTTCTGCCCCCAGTCCGCGTCCGCCGCCCGCACCGTCAGCACCAGCGCGCCCGCCGCGTTGTTCTCGGGCAGCCGGGCGCTGTAGCGCGCCTCCGCGAACACCGGCGCGTTGTCGTTCACGTCCAGCACCCGCAGCGCCAGCACCGCGCTGCTCCACAGCGCCGGCGACCCGCCGTCCGCCGCCCGCACCGTCACGTTGTACTCCGCCACCTCCTCCCGGTCCAGATCCCTCGCCGTCACCACGCGGTAGTAGTCCTCAAAGGACTTCTCCAGCCGGAACGGCAGGCGCTCGGCGATGCTGCACCGCACCTCGCCGTTCGCCCCCGAGTCCCGGTCCTGCACGTGCAGCAGGGCCACCACCGTCCCCGGCGGCGCGTCCTCCGAGATCGCGCTCAGCGCCGACGACACTGTCAGTTCGGGCGCGTTGTCGTTCACGTCTGTCACCGTGATCGCGACTTTGGCCGTGTCGAAAAGGCCCCCGCCATCTCGTGCCTGCACCTCCAATTCGTGTGAGTCGCATTCCTCGAAGTCCAGGCTCCGCACCAGTGTGATCGCTCCCGTCTCAGTGTCCGGCTGGAAAATCTGCGAGGCTTTCACTGAAACGGTATGAAACGAATATTTCACGCGCCCGTAGATGCCCTCGTCGGCGTCGGTGGCCGTGACGGTGACGAGGG